TAGAATCAGCTAGCAGCCCAGCCAGGCGTGGCTCAGCGGTTGAGTGTCGGCCTGGGATCCAGGAGATTTTGGTTTGATTCCCGGTCAGGACACATGCCCAGGTTGCAGGTCTGATCCCCAGTTGGGGGCGTGCAGGAGGCAGCCAATTGATGACACTCTCATCATTGATGTTTCTCTCTCTCTCTCTCCGTCTCCCTTCTTCTCTCTGAAATCAATAAAGATATATTTTAAAAAAAACAACAGATAGCATGTGCTTTTGAGACTAAACTCCTAGCTATCCTATCTTTCCCCACCCAAACTATTCTTGGCAATTTACATCATGAAATATTTCACCTGTATTCCAGGAAAGGGGGAGGAGAAGATTGTCCTTTATAGGTTGCTACTTGTGTATTTCAGTAATTCTTTGGCTTATCCATTTCTTTGTGTGTGTGTAATAATGCATATGAATCTGTGTCAGACTTCCAGATATTGTGTAAGACAGGTTTCTGGCCTTTCCCTGAAGAGGAAATTCACTATCTTTTGAACTTTAGAATAAAGTGGCATTAATAAGTGGAATGTATTATTCCATGTCATTTCCAGTACAAGTGCCAAGTTCAGTAGACATTAACGTAAATCAGCTAACATGGGATCATTAATACCATACAGTGCTCTGAAATTATGCCCTTTATCATCTTGAAAAGAATATTTCACTGCTTTTCCAGTAGCTAACCAAACAAAAATTACCGTACAACTTGTGTTGTTGTTTTTTTATTTGTTTCATGTTTTTTTAATTTGTTTTCTTTTGTCTCCTCCCAGAAAGTCTTTTGCTTTATTACTTTTGTGCTCCTGGAGGAATATTTTATACCTACCTGACAGATTTTTGTAAACATTAGAAATAATGTATATAAGGAGTTAGAGCTTGTGGCTGACATGTAATAGGCATTCAATGAATGGTTTTTATTAGTAATAGTAAAAGATATCTCCAGAATAAGAGAAATTTAAGAATTATGCAGTTTCATCTTTTCAGCAAAATTTGTATACATAATAAGGGTTATGGAAACTTTGCTAAAAATATATTCAGTGCAGCAGAGTTTCTAATTGAGAAAACTGGACACAACCTCAATGTTCATCATTATGAAAGAATGGAATATTAGTCATTTTTATTATTTAGATGTGTACATATTGCTGTTTAGCCTGTAAGTGGTAGGTAACTAAGGGTTCATTATGGCCTGGTGGAGTTTAAACTTCAGCTCTCTGAGGAATGTGATTTGCGTATATTTTTGAGCTGTAACCAAGTGGGGAAGAATTTTGAGGGTTGAAAATAGGATAGTTTTATTTTAAAGACACTAGAATAATATGAAATGATGCCATTTCCCCAGTGTATGCACACTGATTATTTCTAGCTGAGCATTTGAAATGTGAAAGACCAGTCCCAGTTATCAGAATATCCACTTAATTTGTTGTTTTTCTTAATCTGAAATTCTATATACTCATCTAGACTTCTCAAAAACATAATGTGGCAACGGAAACTGAGGACACGTGCACACACACACACACACACACATACACACACTAGGCTAGACTTTCTGGCTTTTCCTACTGTGGATAATAATTCAGTAATTTAGTAATTCAATTCATAAATGAACTTCATGAGAGTCTTAGAATATCCAAGCCTCACTCGGCAGGAGGGAGGCATGAAGTACGGGGAAAATTAAGTGGTCTAAGAGGCTTTTATCAAAAAAGGTAAATACTACCTATTTTCCCGTTTTTATTGTGAAAATTTGAACACTTGAGTAAAGTAGGAGGATTACAGAAAACTGCCAACCATATTTATTCAGCATTACCTCAACCCTACAAAGCCAGTCTAATTATCTATTACAAGTGAAGAAACTAAGGTTGAAAGAGGTAAAGATCACATGACTAAGAAGTAACATAATTTAAATGGAAAATTAGATGCTCCTTATTCTCAGGAAATCTCAGTCTAATAAGGAATCTAAATGCACACTAAATTAAAGTATTAGGCAAAATATAAATGCCGTTAGAAAGGTTAAAAAAACACTATCAAGATTCAGAGGCAAGAAAATACATCCTGCTGGAAAGCTTGGTAAGATTTTATTTTATACCCACTGTATGCCAGTTACTGTGCTAAACATTGAGAATATAAAAATGAATTATAAACATTCCTGCCCTTCCAGAATCTGTAGTCTAGTATATTTGGGACAGATATGGGAGACTTGGGGCAATACAGGGGTATTTTAGAAAGCACCAAGAGCTGCCACATAAGTCTTTGTGGCCAGTCTGTTCCTTGTTTGGAATCCATTTCACTTTGGAAACCTAGGTCTGAATCTGGCAAAGAGCCTTGAGACTATCTTTTTCTATAAATAGATACCACTGGAATTAAGAGAGCTTCCTCTGTAAGAATATCATATTTCACTCTCAGAACTCCTCTTTGCTTCCCAGTTTGAATATTGCCTTAAGAAAGTGCTTCAAACACAAAACTTCTTTAATGAGTATTTTTAATTTTTTTTAAATTCAGAGGCAAAGGGTCAGAGTGAATTGATTTAGAACATGAGCTTTGGAATAAGATGACCTATATTTGAATCCCGGGTCCTCCATTGTGTGACCTTGGGAAAGTCATGTTGCTTCAGTTACTTCCTTTGTAAAATGGAATTAAAAATATTTTACAGGGCTTTGTAAGCAGCGTATAATGAACTGTACCTGGTGCATAATGAACCATCTAAAAATGGTTATTATAAGTTATCATAATACCTGACAGAGGCTTCTCCACAAGCAGCACTGTGGCTTGGAATAGTCTCTTGGTGAATATGTGTATTCCCCCAAAATTATAACTTAGAAATCTCCAGGATTAACTTAGATCACTTTTATTTAAGCATGCGTAAGGATGTTTGCCCCACACTACAACCCAGGATCAGAAGACTATAAAGTCATAGATGACCAAAGTGCACCGTGTATTTCTGGTTTCTCATCCTGTGTTTTGGAGCACATGACCTGGATGCAACTTGTGTCTCTCTTTTTCTCCCATGCTCCCAGCCATAACTCTGCTCATTTTTTGGCCTCCTGTCTATTCAAAGTGTTCTCTCACTGCCATCGTTGCCCTATCTTCTGAGTAGTGATGTGTGCCTGGCATCTCTTCTCCTCTTGCCAGTTTCCCTCCCATTATTAAAACAATTCCTGGAAATAGAGCAGAAACCTGTGGTTGATAAGAAAAATGATAGTACCCCTCTGTCCTTCACAGAAAAAAAACCTAATAATGAGGAAGACACTAGATACAGGAAGTGGAAAGAATTTCCTAGGATGATAGTGAAAGGCAATCACAGTGACAGCTGGGCGCACCAGCTGAGGTAACAAGTCCAGACATGACTCTTTCTCAGAAGATGAAAACTATTTTTCACAACATGGCTTAGCTTTGACTTGCATTTCTATATTCATAATATAAAATTTGATATTGATCTAATCAAAATTATGATGTTATCGGAAGGATGGATATATTTATGTGGGGGAGAGGGGAAAAGAGAGCAGTTGTCTTCCATAGTGGAAAGTCAACAGATAATGCTTAAAACTGAAAAAGCAAGAAGTAACAAAATAAGCGAACTATTTGAAAACATGGAAATAAATACCAAAATAGCCCATAGCAATTGCCTTTGAAGAAGGAGAAATTGGAAGAGGTGAGCAGGGGACTGCTCTCCTGTGCTAAGCTTGTAGAACTATTTTACTGTTTTAACTTGATAGAAGTATAACTGATAAAAAAAAAAAAAAAAAAAGAACTAGAATAGAAAAGGCGTGAATGTATAGCAGCAGAGGCTAAAAAGGGTTAGGGTTACATCTAGAGTTAAGAAAAGTAAGTTACAAATTTTATTTATTTATAAAAACATATATAAGGAAAAGGATTAGAAGGCTATTATCTTTAGATTGTGTAATTTTTCCCTGTTTTTATTAATATGTTTTTATTGATGTCAGAGAGAGGAAGGGAGAGGGAGAGAGAGATAGAAACATCAATAATGAGAGAGTCATTGATCGGCTGCTTCCCTCAAACCCCTCCTGGTAGGGATCAAGCCTGCAACCCAGGCATGTGCCCTGACCGGGAATTGAACCATGACCTCCTGGTTCATAAGTCCATGCTCAACCACTGAGCCATGCTGGCCAGGCTTCCCTTTTTTATACTTTTCTGAATTTTTTGCAGTGGGACATGAATTATCTTTTATGATCAGACAAAAAGCCATTTCATGATATAGAAAAGTAAGACAATTAGAAATGTGAGAGGAAAACTATGTACAAAGATGTCATTACAGCATTTTTATAATCCTAAGAAATCGGAAACAAGCTATCTAATCAGGAAATGTTTAATAAATTATGGTGAAATATTTTACAGGTGAAATATTTTACAGTGAAATATTTTACAGGTGTCAGTTTTTGAAAAGAGAATCTAAATGAGTTTATCTTCATATATCATAAGGTTTTCACCTTTAATTATGCTGTACCCTCTGCCTAAATGCCCTTTTCCTTCCTTCTTATTTCTTTTCATTGGTATTTTCCTGAGCCATCATATCCCACAAGAAGGCCCTCTAACAACCACCATTATCACCTACCCACCCCACCTCACCCCACTCCACTCTCACCTCCATCCCAACTGTGTGAATTACTATTCTGTGTTTTCAAAATATTCTGAGCAGATAATCTATATCTGCACTTACCAGCTGGTATTATTATAATCTATGTATCTTTCCCACTAAACTTTAATCTTCTTGATGGCTGGGATTGGTCTTACTCGCTTTTACAATTTCAGTACAAAGTACAGGGCATAGTCAATACTTGCTGGATAAAGAAAAGAATAATAAAAATACGTGTGTCATTATGTTAAGATTGTTATAAGGAGTAGATGGGAAAATCCGTGTAAAACACCTAGGATAATGCCAAGCACAGGCCTTCAGTGAGTAATAAGGAGGACGATGGTGGTGGCTGCTCTAGTAACAATAAGAGCTGTGTATTTTTTGTTTTCGCAGATAGCCCCAATACAGGCCTTGGAGCTTGTGGATGGATTTTGGTATTTGTCTCATTCTTGTTCACAGTTGCAACTTTCCCATTGTCAATATGGATGTGCATAAAGGTAAAGAATATTTCATTCGCATCTGGAAAGGTGTCAACTCCTAACTACAGAAACCCACTTTGTATGTACATGTGTGTAAGAGAGACAGAGATCATACTGGCCTGTAATTCTTTTTCCTTTATCTCTCTTTTGGAAAATTCACTCTAGTCACCTATTATAATGGACTCGTGAAAGTTCTTTTCAGCCATAGTTTAGTCAGTCTTCCCAAAGGTTAAAGAATATCACTATCGGAAGTTTTCTGTAGTCTGGGATATGGATGGAATGGTCCTATGAGAAGTTCTCCAGGGTCAGAATGCTGAGGTTTGACTGCTGGCTCCATTGTTTTTGGTGTGACCTTTGCCATGTTTCCTCACCTGTAAAATGGGAGGAGGAAATAATAACACCTACTTCATAGGGCCCTTATGAGGATGAAATGAATTAATGTATTTAAATGTACTTGTTGCAGTGCTTGGCACATGATAAGCACTTCCTAAATGCTGGTTATTTTTTCTGTAATGTTATTAATACTTCGATAAATGACTATCATTTACATATTCCTAAAAAGATAAATGTGCTCCAAGAATTTTCAGGTAAGTTTATTATTATAATTTAAGAAATCAGGAGACAAACTGAAAACTTCAGCTTTTTTTTTTCTGTATTAATAATGCATGAGTAATTGAATAATGTTGACAGCTGAGAAGTGAGGTTGTAGATTTGCTTCTGTATATTATTCTATACTGTCCAGATTTTTTTTTTTTTAATCCTCACCCAAGGATATTTTTCCCATTGCTTTTCAGAGAGAGTGGAAGGGAGGGAGAGAGAGGAACAGTGATGTGAGAGAGACACATCGATTGGTTTCCTCCTGCACATGCCCCGATCGGGCCTAGGTATCAAGCCTGCAACTGAAGTATGTGCCCTGGGCTAGAATTGAACCTGGGACTCCAGTCCACAGGTCAATGCTCAAACTGAGCAAAACTGGCCAGGGCTCTACTTCCCAGATTTTATACAGTGGATATCTATTGCTTTTATAATTAGTAAAAATAAATAAATAAATATCATACTTGGGGGTATTAGACATTGGACATATTTGTAGATATAATCTGGATTATAGAGAAGAAAACATGTAACCTGTTTAAACCAGAAATATACATTTAAAGAGCTGTGCATATAAATATTTGTATTCTTCATATTAAATTATTATTTATGTTTTTAATCTAGATTGTAAAAGAATATGAAAGAGCCATCATCTTTAGACTGGGTCGAATTTTACAAGGAGGAGCCAAGGGACCTGGTCAGTACTGGGGTTCTAGATTTGAAGACTGAAATTCTTCCTTTTATTGATGTGATTTCCCTTATAGGTTTTCTCTGTTACTTAGAAGAGTTCTTCATGTAACAAGTTGTATAACAATAGCAGGGGTGCTAGACAGTCTTGCTGGAACTACCCTTTCCTTCCTTTCCCCTCCTCTTCCCATTTGAGCTGATAAGATTATTGTAGTCTAGGAGTAGCTACAGCAATAAAGTTTGAGCATGAGAATCCCTACTAAAATAAAGGCTTTGAGTCATTGTTTTTGGCAAACTTCGATTAAGCTCCTACTCTGTTCCAGGCTCTGAGAATTCATGGGAGACTGTAACACAGTTCCTGTCCTCAAGGATCTTACTGTCTAGTGGTGGGACACCAACAAGGAAACAGATAATTTCAGTTCCTTGTGATAAGTATTATGATCCAGATAGCTGTGAAAACCCAGAGAAGAATGACTGACCCAAACTAGTAGGATGAGACAAGGCTTTCTGGAGGTGACAACTTGGCTGAGTCTTGAGGCATGAAAAGGTATTAAGGGAGGTATTCCTGCCATAAATAGCAACATGTACAAAGCAATATAGAGGAGAGTATTTCGGGTTCAAGAAACTGCAGGTCACAGCCCAGCCAGAGTGGAGAGCATGAGGAGAGGGGAATGGCTGAAGAGGTAAGCTGGGGCAGGTCATGCAGAACCTTGTATGGCTTGCTCAGGAGTTTGTATTTCAGGAAAGACTGCTCTGCTTGCAGCTTAGAAAATGGATCAGAAGTGAGACACTGGAAGAAATCAAAAGATGACTTGGCAAGTGATTGCATTGGTCTAAGTGAGAGCAGTGATAGTCACAATGGAGTAAGGAGATGAAATCCATTGCATTGGTAGGGACAGTTAGGGTTGGGACGTGAACAAGAGGAGTAAAGGATAACATTCATAGCTTCTGGCTCATTCACTGAGATGGATTGGTGACTCACTGTCGATTAGGTTGATGCTATTCGAATTGACAGGTGAAGTAAACCATTTAGGTGCTGGTATCTCTCTGTAATCCTCTGCGGATCTTTGTTGCAGGTTTGTTTTTTGTCCTGCCATGCACTGACAGCTTCATCAAAGTGGACATGAGGACTGTTTCATTTGATATTCCTCCTCAGGAGGTAAGGTGATCTTTTGCTATGAATAACTGAAATACCATGTGTGAAAGTGCTTGACAATGAGAGACAGCATGTGTAGTGGTTAGAGCATAGGTTTAGAGCCTATCTGCCTTCACCATTTTCTAGCTGTGTGACCTTGAGCAAGGTTTGCAATTTCTCTGCCTCAGTTTCCTAATCTATAAAATAAAGATTATAATAATAGAACCTAATTTATAGGTTCCTTGCTTTTTCAAACTATTTTACAGATATCACAGTTGAAACTGCAGAAAGTATATAGTTACTGTGAGACAAAGGAATTCCTCTGGGCTACAGTGGTAGAAACAAGACAAAAATCCAGCTCTTTGGATTCCCCATCTGGTGCTTTTTCCACAACTGCATGCTAAATGCATTCTGCATTAGCTCCCTCATGGCCCTTGAAGTAGAGATGGCCATCCTGGTACTTATGTCTAAGGAGGCATAATAACTATTGCAGACTGAAAGCCTAAAAACATGATGAAGGGAAGGACAGAAAGTTACTGTCAGTACTTCCTGGCCAAAAGCCAGGTATCCAACAGAGTGGTGGAGCCTAGCCTTGCTGTCTTCTCTTGTCACATAATCCAGAAACCTGCCTTGGAACTTCCTTGCTGGTGCTAAGCCAAGTAGTTGGTGAGGTCAGATCTCATAATCCACACATATGTAGTGACCAGAAATCATTTTTGCCCCCAAGAACAAGACTGAGAGCATTGCTGTATTCTCTGCATGTTTTCCCATCTTGCAGGAAAGACTGACTCTCAGAAGGAGAGTAGCCGGGTAGCTGGGAATTCTGGCATTTTCCTCTATAAACACTGCAGGCATCTGGCAGGGTTGCTGTGTGCTTCTGCCTTCCAACTGCTCTCTGCTTTCCTGCCAGCTGCTGAACACAGAACGGATTGGAACTTGGCAGGCAGTCCTTTTTCCAATCCCCTGTGAACTTACTGTGAGGGAGATAAACATGCTGCCTACGATAAACAGTAGGAAGAGAGGCTACAGCATTAGAAAGCTCTGGCTGTGGCAAAGTCACTGTCAAGAATTTGTTTAGAAATTATACACATTTTCCCATCACATCGTGGGAAGGAATTAACTTTCATAGAAGATGGTAATGTACCATACATTTATTTACAAATCTCCCATTTCTCTTTCAAGTTAGAAGTATATTTAGATTCCTAAAAAAAGGATTACTGCTTTGATCTGGCAGGACTAAACAGCTGTGTAATATAATTGTCATTACTATTTTCTATTTACATAGCTCTTAACACATTCAAGAGGGCTTCCTTCACAAACATTTTCTTATTTGATCTTCAAAGAAATTTGTGTAGAATTGGGCAGTATTATTAGCCCCATCTCACAGATGAGGAATTTCTAGTTCAAACAGTTTAAAAGCTAGAGGTCACCGAAAGGTATAGGCAGAGTTGAAACTCCAGGTCTCCTAACTCTCACTCCCATGCTCCTCACCAATCACTATTCCTCCGGCCACATTTTTTTTTTTTTTTTAATATATTTTTATTGATTTCAGAGAGAGGAAAGGAGAGGGAGAGAGAGAGAGAGATAGAAACATCAGTGATGATGTTTGAGACGAACTGCCCTAAAGAAGTTCATAGTCCAATAGAGAAAGAATGATGTAAATAAATAATGTCACTGCAGTGAAGTGTGAAGGGAAGGGCATACTCTGCCAAGTGGGTCAGGGAAGTTTCACAGAGAAAAGGACACTGGAGCTGTGACTTGAATGCTGAGTAAGAATGTGCTCAGCCTGATGTTATGAGGGGAAGAGAGAGGGCAGGGCATCCAAGCAGAGGGGACATCCACATAAAGACCAGGGGACATGGAACATGCTGTGTGCAGGAGTCTACACCTCGTCTAGTATAGTGTGGACAGGAGGGAGTGGGGAAGAATGAGGCCAGAGAGCCAAATGTCAAAGGGCCAGGTGTCAAAGGACTTGTATACCAAAGTAGGGACTTGTCCTGTAGGCGGTAGGAAGCACTGGCACATTATGATTATGTCCTATGAAGCATCTTTATGTAGCATGCTGTGAAGATATTTTTACCCTGACCTTGCCCTATATAAACATTCCCCATTCACATTTTGTTCTAGTAATACTGTGCTACTTATAGTTCTAGTAATACTGATAAGCCTAGGCTCTCCCACACACATTATTTTCTCTGCCTTGAATACTCTTTCACTCTACCCTCCACCCTCTCAAAATTTTTATTTCTTCCTTCAAGATTCAGTTCAAGTATCACTCCTGCCACCTACAACTGCCCACTTTTTGTTCCTTAAAGTCTCCCTTGATTCCTTAGCCTCTTTGAAAGTAGAAACCAAGGTTTTTCATACCTTTATCCCCAGTACAATGCCTGCTACTGAATGGTGTCTCATTTGTTGAATGATTGAAGGAGGTAATGAAATTAATGAATAACTGAATGTACTTTATTAAGATTTTAAAGATTTTCTGATGCTTTACTATAAGGGTACTAATCCCATTCATAAGGGTTCTACCCTCATGAGCTAACCACCCCCACAACCAAATACCAACACATTGGGGATTAGGTTTCAACATATGAATTTTGAGGGAACATTAACATTCAGTCAATAGGACTTGCTGAAGAAAATAAGCTAGACTTATAAGAAGTTCTACAGAATAACATTCCTTACTGTTATATTAAAGAAAAAGTTGGTTGACAGATGTAAAATTGCTTCCTTTATATTGTAGATTCTCACTAAAGATTCAGTGACAGTTAGTGTGGATGGTGTGGTCTATTACCGCGTTCAGAATGCAACCCTGGCTGTGGCAAATATCACCAACGCTGACTCTGCAACCCGTCTGTTGGCACAAACTACTCTGAGGAATGTCCTGGGCACCAAGAACCTTTCTCAGATCCTTTCTGACAGAGAAGAAATTGCACACAACATGCAGGTGAGGAGTGCACCAATGCTGTAACTCACTAGAAATTGAAAATGGAAGCAAAGGCTCAGTGGTTGTTTGAGAACTTACCAGTTCAAAGTTGGGGAACCACTGGTCTTTTTTCCTTGTAGAAAGGTCTTCTCAAACTTGATGGAAGGGAATGTTTTTCACACAAATAGTTTATGAGTAATAACACTCAGGTCATGCATTATTTTTTCCCTCCAGTGTGTATTTATTTTGCAGAATTAGTATTAACCTTTTCTTTAGCATAATAGCTCAGAGGCCATTTGGCATGGCACAAGTGTTGTTACAGCTATATTCCCTGTGTGAGTCCCATGACTTCCCTGGTAAGTCTTATGCTTTCCAATGTTGCTTGAATAATAGATGATGGATTAAACCTGACCTGTTAAAAAGCACTATAAAATCTGAATTCTTATTATTTGTATAGATTTCATTGTGTGTAAAATCTATGATTTTATTTGATACCCACAGTAACCATAGGAAATGAAAGTAGGATTTCATTCCTACCATTGTAAAGGGAGAAGGTTGAAGCACAAAGAAGCAACATGGCTTACATGGAGTCATATTAGCTTGGGAGTCGCCTGGCCACCTGTTTTAATAAGTAAAGTTTTATTGGAATACAGCCACATCTATCAGTTTATGTATTATCCATGGCTGCTTTTGACCTACAATGGCAGGGTTAAATAGTTGCAGCAGACTGAAAATCAATAATTACTATCTGGCCTTCTTAGAGAAAGTTTGCCTGCGTTAATTACCTTATAGTAACAGAATCAGAGTCAGCTCCTCAGTGAACCAGCGCCTTATCTGCTGCCAGTCCCACTGTCTTCAGCAACCTTAGGCCTCTGGACTGGGGCTGACCATTTTATTTGCTTTCTCTCTTCCTATCAGAGTAGCCTGGATGATGCCACTGATGACTGGGGAATCAAGGTAGAGCGGGTGGAAATCAAGGATGTGAAACTGCCTGTGCAGCTCCAGAGGGCTATGGCTGCAGAAGCGGAAGCATCCCGGGAGGCCCGAGCCAAGGTCTTTTTTTGTTTGTTTGTTTTGGTAGTCTGTTTTTCCTATTGAATTTTTGTTTTTAATTACAAAAAGTAAAACATGTTTGTTTAAAAATTAGAAATAATCCTGAGTATTTAGTAAAGATGAAAAGCCCTCCCTGTCACTTCAAGTTGTATCTCTGCAGAGGTCACTCCTCTTAAGTTTAATGTATTCACATCCAGATTATCGTTTGGGCTTTATTTGGGTTTTATTTGACTAGGTTGTTAGACTATTGGCTTGTCTGTTTTACAGAAGTAGGTCACTCTATACATATTGCTCTGCACCTTGCTTTTTGCACTCAGCGTCGCGCGGGCTTATCAGCACATACAGAGTTACCTCTTTTCTTTATTAAGTGTCTGTCCTGTACTTTATTCTCCCAACTCCCTCTAAGGGAAAAATTCGGGCGACCTCATCATTTTGCTCACCGTTCATTCCTTTCTTCTGTCTCCTTTCATTCTCTCTCTTTTCTCTGAACCTTCTTTCTTCTTCCTGTTTCCTTTTCTTCTCTCCTTTTTTGTCTTTCACTTCTTTCTTTGATGTCTGCTTTTCCCTCCTTTTCATCATCAGCCCTGCCTATGTCTGCACCCTGCAGAGATGCAGGACCCCTCTGAGAGGTGCTGAGTGCAATATCTGCTAACCTAGCCCAGAGAAGAGGGTTCACTGAGATGATAATGCCGAAGGACACAGGGATATCTCAACAAACCGGAGGGTAGGAAGGAGAGCTAAGGAGAGCCAAGGAGAGCCGAGCCTCCTCAGAATTGTAGCCAGGGACCCGAAATGAGTCAAGACTGAAGAGAGTAAGTCATTTCACTTCCTGGGCCACATCTCACTGCAGATGGTCTGAGGCCGGGACTCCCTGGCTCCAGTTGAACACTGAAGGAGGCAGGCTAGCCCTGATTCCAAATTCACAGCAGAGAGATTATCTTTGGTCCGTCTTTGGTCGAAGGGTAAAGCCAGGTGCTAATCAAGTCTCAGGGCCCCTTGCCTGTGAATGCGTGGAGAGAACAGAGGCAGTTTTGGTAGGAGGGGTTACTGTGGACTTGACAGATCCCTCAAGACACAAAGAGCAAGCAAATTTGTTCTTGTTAGAAAAATAGCAGTAACTGGAGATAATTGTCTAGCCATAGAATCCTGCCCTTTTCTTAGAATGTCCTTTAAGCCACAAATGGGTCACTATAATTTCTTAGCCAGCCCCAAATAGAATAGTAGTTCATTTGACACAATACATCCAGAATTTTCTACTGACCAGAAATTTTAGGTTTTTCTAATGTGATCACTGATGCTTGCGATGCTAACCTGGTGACACTGCAGAGCCCCCAAGTGCTTTCTCTCAAAATCATCACATTTAGAAGACTAAATTATATTTATGATAATATTAAATATACCGTACTAGAATCTAATTATTTTGAAAATTGGGAATCACTTATACCTAGAATATGTCATTAACCAAAAGCCCCAGAACAACAGAATTTGTCATACATAGACTACACAGAATATCAGAGCCCAAAGAGTCCTTAGAGATTATCTTCTGAAGGTGACAAATACCTGGCCCAGATGCTGCTACTCCACCCTCCTATTCCCATGCCAGTAATTAACCACAGCACAGTTTTCCACTGAGCTTAGACTTGACCTTCTATAGCACTCTAGTTAACAATCAACTGCTTGGAATTGGCTCTAAAAATGAAACTTATTTGCCATCCCACTATTCAGATGAAAAAAAACTGAAGCCTAGAAAAGTTAAGTGATTTTTCTCAAGGTCTCACAGTCTGTTAGTGGCTGTGGAAATTAGAATTCCCCTCTGCTCCTCACTGCCTCTTCTGAGACTTTCCAAAATGGACCAAGCCTCTTCTGCAAGTGTTCTCACCAGTTAGGAAAGAGAGTTCTTATCTTCCTTTTAAAACAATAAGGAGATAAACAAAGCTCATTAAAATTCTGAATTACCGTGCTCCCATTTGGATGGGGCTGTAGGGTTGGTCTGGAAGCAGTCCCATGGACCCAGGCAGTGGCTCTGTCTGTCTTTAAGGTTGGAGCCAACAGTGGGAATCATTATGAGTCCAGCCCTTCTGTAAAATACAGAAACCCTGCAGCATCCATAAGGCCATATATTCAAAACTCCATATTCAAGTTCTCGTGGAAAATGGGGGATGGGGGTCACAGTTTCTAAAGTAAATAAATTGCAAAGGAAAAGGATAGGAGAAACTATAGATTAAAAGACTTCAGAGAGCCTGACCCGGCGTGGTTCGGCGGTTGAGCATCAACCTAGGATCCAGGAGATCGTGTTTCAATTCCTGGTCAGGGCACATGCCCGGGTTGCGGGCTCGATCCCCAGTTGGGGGCATGCAGGAGGCAGCTGATCAATGACTCTTTCGTCATTGATGTTTCTATCTCTCTCCCTCTTCCTTCCTCCTTCTGAAATCAATAAAGATATATTAAAAATTTTAAAAAAAGATTTCAGAGAAAAGTTCAAGTTAATTAGGCATCAGGAAAATACAAATTCAGATCCCAAGCAGATGCCACACTAAACATCTATCAGAATGGCTTAAGAGAGAGAGGGAGGTACTTGTACTCATATTTTGTTGGCGAGAGTATAAATTGGTACAACCACTTTGTAAAACTGTCTGGCAGTATGTACCTAACAGAAATGCACTCATTTTTTTACAGAAAGCATGTCCTAGACTATTCACAGCAGAACTTTGTAATTTCCCAAACTGGAAATGACCCCAGTGTCCATTGCTAGTCGAATGGATAAGTGTGGTTTATTCCTGTGAAGGAATACTGTACAACAAGGCGAGTGCACATACAAGTGCTCCTGAAAATAATTTGAGAGAAAGGAGCCAGTCACAAAAGAGGACAGATTCTCCACCAGTTTTACAGTATGTTAACTGAATCTCTTTAAAGTTTTTAGATCAACTCTTAGTGACTTGAAATGTAATCTCTTTTGTGCTTGCATTACCCCTCATTTCCTTTTTCATAATTCTCAGGAAAATGCTTGAGATGTGCTTTCAAGCTCCTTTTCTGGGCCTGGTCATTTATTACTTGAGAGGGTGGAGTGCAAAAATATAAATCACCTTTCTCTGCCCTTCTCCCAGACCTGGACTGCAGAAGGAGACAGCAGTACCAATCTCACATACTTGAAAATGCCAGATTTTAAAATGATGGTCTATAGTATAAAGTATTGATTGACATGGGATTACTGCGCATTTGGCAAAAGCCCCACATACCCACATGTATCTTGCTTCGCTTTCTAAGATCCTATCCACAGCATATACTTGGCCCACATTTACAGTAGTATTGGGTTCACATCTTTGGCAGCTAGCTCTGAGCAGCTTTTCTGTTAACAAAATGTGTGTCTAGCCAGTGGGTCTGGCTTCCCTGCCAAGAGATTGCATGTTGATTCGTAGTGGGAGATGAGGTATCTTTGCAGTTGGTTCATTTCCAGACAAAAAGTGCCTAATTGGACATCTGAGATGACATGGAAAAAATCAGAGCCCGCTGACCTCGAGGCAGGGTTTACTGTGCACTCTCTGCTGTGCTCTCCACGGAGCACAGTTACAGGATTCTCGTCTAGCATACCTGGCACTTGCCCCTTCTCACAGACTTAGGTAAAAAATAATAAGGTGGTCTTTCATCAAAAAATATTTTTAGTGATCATCAGCTTTCAGTTAAATAAGGTCCTCTTTCCTTTCATCGAAATCCAAGAATTGGAAATCCTTCTGACTTGCAAAAAGATGTATCCAGTCGTTAAAGCCATTCACTTTCTCAGCCCCCACACAGTGTTTTGAACTGTCTCTTTGTTTGGTGCCTGGAAAGTGGGAGAAAGGCAACAGTAAAAAAGTCTGTCTTGACCTCCGGCGCACACTCAGTTATAGGAAAAAGAACATGGAAACTGAGCATAGGGAAGTGGATTTCCTTAAAACTATTCTGGCATACTGCCTAGAAAGTTTTGTGATTGCTGCTTGACACCTGCCGTTTTCTCCAGTTTGACCTCTCCTTGGGTTGTTCCACAGGTCATTGCAGCTGAGGGAGAAATGAATGCATCCAGGGCTCTGAAAGAAGCCTCCATGGTCATCACTGAATCTCCTGCGGCCCTTCAGCTCCGCTACCTTCAGACACTGACCACCATTGCCGCTGAGAAAAACTCCACGATTGTCTTCCCTCTGCCCATAGATATGTTGCAAGGCCTTGTGGGAGTAAAACACTGAGGCATACAGGCCAACACAGAGATAAGCTCTTCCCTTCTGAGGACGAAGCAGGGACCAAATTAGTCTTTCACCCAGAGGAGAGAGTAGGTGGAACTCTGACTATTCTCCCTCACTTTCCTTTTCCTTGTGTTGAGTGTGATGTTCTTAGGTTGTATAGTGATTCTAGCAACAGATAAAGATTGTTAGCTTATAAATACTGTGTGAGAGATTTCTATAAGATAATCAAGTATTTAAAAGTCCATATTTTTAGATCATTGTGTAATACATTAAATCCCTCGTTTTTTGACTTTCATTGAGTCATTCTACACCTTGTTTCAGGAGCCAGGCAAAGCAATTTACCACCTGACACCCTTGGCTGGACAAATGCTTTGCGAAAAACAGTGACCTTAAGCTACAACCAGCTTCTCTGGGCCACATGTGCCTTACTTCCGGGGAATCTTACTGAAGGAAATTTTCTAACATCCATTTACTTTCTAAACCCAAACCATGTTTCAAAATAATCCTCAATCGAGACTAGGCATTTTCTTGCGAGTACCAGTCAGCTTTGGAAGAAGGTCAAGATCAATGAAAACCTTTGAAAGACTTTTAAATCCACTATTATAGAGGTTCTTTTAAAATAATGTGGGCATTGTTTTTTTAACTTTTTTGAGTCTCTTTATGAGTCAATGATTCCCCTGTGGTCTGTCTTTCAAACCAGATAAATACCTGTTCACAAGTGCTTTTTTCTCACTTTTGCCTGTTTTCATACATCAGGTCCTAAATAGTTTTGATTTTTAAAATAAAATCTTCTGAGTCCTATAAGCAGTTACTTTTATAGCCACTTGAATAGCTTAAGGACTAATACTTCTTAAAAATATATCTTCAGAAAACCATTATATTTTACTGTCTTGCATGCTATTAACTATTGTACACTGAAATATCTCAGTTACTGATCCCGTTCATTCAGTAGTATAAAGAATTCACAGTATATTGGGCACGTAATATGCAATGAGCTGGGGAAGGTGCCGTCAGACTTAGGATATTATGTAGATGTATATTTTCCTCATTTTCCTGCTTGGGGTTCTTTTCCCGTCATACATGTTGATGCTGAAAGAGGAAGTGGGCAGCCCTTTTGAACCACAGTTGCTTAATCTGTGGTATTAGGAGGCACCTTCCATTTCACAAATGCCTGTGACCTGAGCAACCTGGCATTCCTCTTACTGGTCTGGAATTCTGGCTGGTGACATTTGTACCACTTCCTTGAGGCTGAATTCACCTAGAGAAGCCTAAGAATAGCTGCTTCCTTACCCAGAAACACTCTTCCTATCTGTCCTTAACTGGATTACTCTGTCAATCCCAGCCTATGAGTGTCTCCTCCCCTACACCCCATTTCCAAGCTTATTTTAAGAAACCTTGAACCACCATGTATCCTAGTTCCTGGCTTAGTTTATTAGGTATATATGGAACATTTTGACTTGGAACTCAGGTGGCATTTATAATTTGAAAATGATTTTATCTCTTGTGAGGTGGCTCACCCTTGACCACAGAGCACCAGAAAACAGCCATATATCCTGGCTGAAAATCTCTTCCCAGACTTAGAGTAACAGTGCTTTCTTATTCCTTGAGTTTTCCTGTCTCCAGATGCGAAACAATCTCTGCTTTTCTGCCTTGTGGGTTCATAGCCCAGGAGTCTAGAATTAAATCACCTGGGAAGGAGGTAGCCTAGGGTGAGAGTGTGAGGGCAAGAGTGTGTGCCAAGTGGCCTCCCATCCCAATGCTGTACGTAATAAAGAGCGCACATTTCCTAACTTTCTTTGGGTGTGAGCCTGTTTATTCCCAAATTTAGTGTGTGTGGTTTTTGTCTTTTAGAAGTGGCGCTGCAGATCTTCCCGTCCCCGTCCTGGGCTGCCTGCCTTGGCTTTATTGGTTGCTCTTCAAGGGCCAGAGGAAGAGGAGAGGCTACTGTAGTCCATCTCTCCCTCTGGTGGACCTGCCCATACATTTTCCTGGGGAATTGGAGATCCATGCACCCCCTGAATCCTTAACTGCTTTCACGTCCCTTTGCCTTAATCCAAACAAAATAGGACTCACTTCTTGCTGTCACCCAGCTAATCACAGGTATATCCTCTACTTAAAAAATAATAATAAATGATAATAAAATGAATGGGTGTTACATGCAACATTGCAACATTCAATCTTTGAATGTCTTGAATCAATGGCTACCATTTGTGGAGCACCAAGTACCCTGCTCTGTGCTCAAATATTTGTACATACTTGTACATACGTTCTATCATTTTGTCCTCAAAACAGCTCGATTGTCCCCATTTTACAGATAGGACACTGAGGCTCAAAGGTTAAAACTTACCCAAAACCGCATGGTTGGCAAGGAACAATGCTAGGATCAAACATGGAACTGTCTAATGACAAAGACTCAGGGTGTCTAAATGCATCTTCATGGGACAGTGCCTGCCTCCACCACCACCCATATACATACCACCAGCAGCAGTCATTTTATATGCAGAAAACAACTTTGCAAGACTGTCAGAGTTCATTTGATTAGAGAAGCTTTGCATTCATGCCCAAGCAGGCCTTAAATTGGAACTTTAGTTTTGGACCTTGAGACCTAGGCCAAATTTCAGTCCAGGTGAAGGGAATAGATTGGGGTTTTGTAATCCTAACAGAACACACTAGCCTAAGCTGGAGGAAACCCGGCAAGGATCTTTAAGCTATGTGGCTTTTAAACTGTTATTTCTGTGAATTTCACAATACCACCAGGTCTTCCCAAGTTTGCTCAGCTAGTAAATAGTGAGCCAGTAGTTTTCAAACTTCTTTTTAGCAAAATCCCCCCATTTTCTTTCCCAAAAGAAACTACACTGGTGAAAGATTTAAAGTATCTTTTATCAGGATAAATTCTTAAATTCACATTTATAACATTTACTTAATGCCAATCAACGAGGCTTTAAAAACAAAAATAGTAATCGAAGTCATAAAAGGCAATTGCAGTCTTAAATCAGGGTCTACATTAAATTAATTTCTCCTTTTTGTTTCAAGTGTCTGATAATTTATTATCACTTTAAAAGTGGAATTTGAATCAAATATTTGTAAAATCACTGAGGTATGTCATAGAATTCTACAGACCCCAGTTTTAAAATCACTGTTCTTCAGTGCTTTCCCCACTACATCAATGAACTTGTAATGCGACCTTAGATAGGTCCAACTCTCTGAGCTTCATTTGCCTCACCTGTAAAATAAGAAGCTGGACTCCACTTGTTTGAGAATGTGTTGGAAACTATAGAGCACAAATTTGCATACAACTTTGGGGGATGCACTGACCCCACCACTCTGCCTATCCAAAGATTTAGGAACCCCTGGACCAGATAATCTCTAAGATCTTTTTTAATTTCAGCAGCTCTGGGCTCAGATCAGACTGGGATTTGCCATAGGGGTGGGGAACTTCAGGCCCGTGGGCCATATAGGGCCCTCAAAATCACTGGGTCCGGCCCTGCCAAGGCAACTGCAGGTGGGACTTGAAATTCAATAAATCTAGGAGCTTTTTTCATAGCTAATTTTTAAGTTGATAATTTTGTATGGCCCACAAATGATGTTATAAATATCCAAATGGCCCTGGGCAGAAAAAAGTTTCCCTACCCTTGGAAGGATTCACACTTGCTGATAGGATACAGCCCTTTTCAATCCACCCTATAACCAGAAGAGTTTGTTGAGAAAGAAAGTTGAAACCACTGATACATCTGAGGCTTTAGAAAGCTCTAGAAAGCTAGTCATCACAATGGAACTAGGAATCTACCATTAATAATTCTGGAAAAAAAAATAGGCTGGAAGTTAAGTCCTCTGAAAATTACTAAAAGACTGTAAGGAACCATTACTATTAATTATTTTCAGCATCTGGCCCCTAAAAAATCTCCAACAAAATGGCTGTCTATTCATCATCTGTTTACCCCCTGCATCCATCCTAGCAACCATGACTTTGTTTAGGGACCTCCCCCTTAGAGCTCTCACTTCAGGGGAAGGGGATTTCAACCCCAGATCCCAGGATGAACCTAATTGTCCCCTGGATAAGTCCCTCCCCCTAGCCCAGGATTCTGTCAGGAATGGTAATGTGACCCCATATGGGCTCTCGAGACCAGAGGAGAGATTTTCTGTGGACTGGGGGACAGTTCCTCCTTTCTTCTGGGAAAACTTCTAGAAACAATCCTTCTCTTCCCCTGGACATTGCCATACATGGGAATGCCTACACACAGTCCACTACCAGGTCCCGAATGGCAGAGCCAGGAGAATCGACAGGAACCCTGGACAGACTCATTGGTTTTCCCCAACCAGGAAGGCCCCCCAAACTCAGCACTACCAGGTAGGAAAGCACACGAGTATGCTGATGGTTTAATTGGGTGTGAGTCGGTTTTCCATTGCTTACAGCCAAAAACAACCTATCTTTACCTCCAAGGATATAGCCTGCTGTGAGCTAGGCTCTTTAGTCTTACAAACAATGGTGTTGTGTTGTTGTGTTTTTTGTTACCATTTTGAGCACTGAACATGGGCCAGGCATTGTACTAACCCTAATCTCCCTCAATCCTCAGGAAAACCCTTAGTGTGCAGGCACTGTTCTTACCCCATTTTGCCGCTAAGGACGTGACCAAGAGCTGAAGTAAGATCACACTGCTGATAAGTGGTGGCGCTAGAATCGGAACCCAGGTCTGACTCCAAAGCCCAGCTTTGAGCCACTGTTACACCCCCGCCAGTTAGATGCTACTTTAATACAGAAGTGCCATTTTGCAGGTGGGGAAACTGAGGATCCTAGAAAATTTTCTATTATATCTCTAGTGCCTTGCACACTGCTTCGCACAACGTACACAGTAAATACCCGTTGAACTGAACTGCCCGGGGTAGGCCAAGGATCCAAGCCGAGGCCCATCTCTTGCCGAGAGGCGCCCCCGTGGCACCTGTCGTGGCATTTCACAGTGACTTCTCCATTGTAGATGATGAAGTCCAAGGTCTCTCAAAAATTGTTAGGAAAAGAAAATATGTGGTTGAAGTGATAGCGTTCCTGATTCATTACTTTGCCACTGAGAGAAAACTGTGAAGTCCGAGAAATTCAGTAGTTTCTGCAAACTTCTTTTCTCAGGGCATAGCAGAGCTCTCTCCTGGGCACAGGCACCAATAAATGGAAATTAGCCAATTCACCGCCTTGAATGCCAATTAATGCAAATAAAGAAAGCAGGTTTTGACCTCCCGCAGGCTTTTAGCATGTGAGAGGGCTTTGTCTGGACAGGCCTCCACCTACCTGCCCCTAGCAGAGGCCCTAGAAGCTCCAGGTGGCAAACATAGCTTTTGTTCTAGAACTTGGCACTTGTCAAGTGGATTGCTTTGACCTTGAAAGCAACCATTTGGGGTAAGTGAGGCAGGCGGGCGTTACAGGGTCAAGTCCAAACCTTAGCATGGAATTCAAGGCCCTTCACAGACTCTCCGCTTTGAGGTCTAGCACTCCCCGCCTTCTGCTCCAGACACACCAGTCTGTTGTCTGTCCCTGAGGGTGACATCCTCCCTTATAGCTCATCTCTCTACTTGCTGCACACTGCCTGAGATGACTTGACTTTCCCACGTTTCACCCGGAAAATTCCTTCTTCACTACCCTCGTCACTTCTGCGATGAATCTGAACCTCTGCAGGTAGGGCTTGTGGGGGATCTATACTTTTAAAAAGCTCCCTGGTCAATTTGGCTGATCAGCCAGTTTTGAAAACAGTGTAAACACACACACACCCTTCCCACCACATAAACCCTCACACTGGTTTTTGTTACCTCATAACTTGGACGGGAATGGGGCTGGGGCTGGGGGTGGCATGGAACAAAATGAGGAAAATGCAGTGAGAAGAGACTAGAAGAAGGGAGGGGAGGGGAGGGGGTCTGATCCCCCAGCTGTTCCTTGGATGGGTTTGGAACCTCCATGAAGAAAAGGTGTAGAGGCACAAGTTCATGGAAATGTCTAGGAAGGACTTTGTGACAATCGGAGCATGAGCAGAGGGTCAGGGCCCAGGGGACCAAGTGGGGCAGAGAGGAAGTCCCTCTCCCACATCCCAAAGGCTGCAAACTTTGGGAGCCTCCAGGGCCCCTCCTGTGATAGCAGCTGCAGCAGCAGACATTTGTCCAGAGCTTTGGGGTGACTCGTGGGAACCAGAGGGAGCAAGGAAGGTCTAGGCGGGTATTACAGGGCGTGGCGGCCATGAGAATGACCTGGCCAACTTTCTATACAGGGAACAAGCCCTAGCTGCTGGCTTTGAACTGCATCCCTAAAAGTGCTCCGAGGCCACACCTTGCAATGACCGAGTGTCCTGGGGAGATGAGGCCCACCACACCGCCCCTGGGAGACACACAACTCCTTTGCTGGCTGATTTGACTCTGGCTTAACAACAACTTTGAGTCAAAAAGATATTTGTACACCATCACAGCAGCATTGTTCACAACAGCCAAAAGTGGAAAGGCCCCGACTGTCCGTCACTGGAAAATAAATATGTGGTATGCAGGTTCCCCCCGCTATCTGAAATTAGGGCTTTCCTAAGAAACCTTTCATAAGCGGAAAGGGCATAAAGCAGAGTATCCTCTGCTTTACAAAAATTCAAGTTGCACCACTTAGCTTTTTTGAAAGACATACATTAGTACCTGTTTCTGCTAACCAAAGGAAATCCGAAGATTTTTTGCATAAAAACAGTTACCGTATTAGTGTAGATCTTTCGTAAAAGTGAAGAGCCTAATGTAATCTTTTGGAAAGGGGGGGGTCTACCCATATACAGTAAACGGA